TCTCAAATAAAAAATCGATTATTATTACTGTAGGTCCCTGACGATAGGACTGCTTCCGAAATATACAGTGAATTTAAGGATGCTGTTTGGCGGCAGATGTTGACTACCGCTATCGGTCATATCAGAGAGGCATGTCAGCAGAAGAGTAATTGAAAAGCTCTTCAGAATACCACACCTTGCTGACTGCAGATCGTGTCCTGAATCTCCAGGACAGGGTGGATTCATGTATTTTCTACCTGCCTTATCCAGTACAGGGAGCCGGAGCCTATCCTGGCAAGCGACAGGCGCAAGGCAGGATACACCCGGGCCGGGACGCCAGTTCATAGCACAGAAAACTCGCACGCGCATGCACCCACACGAGGGCCGGTTTCCCCAGAAGCCCCTTAATCTTTGCATGTCTTTGGACAGTGGGATGAAACTGGAGCACCCAGACGGAGTAAACCCACACGAGCGCGGAGAGAACATGCAAACTCCACACAGACAGCACCTCTGGACCAGGACCCAGGGCCGCAGCTCTGCCGACCCCTGCACCACTGGGCTGGCCAGGAGAGGGTTAACACACGTTTCCATTTCTGCAGCAACTCTCAGAGCTCCTGTCACCAGTCTGAGGCAGAGCTTTAACTGTGGAAATGGAACCGGCCGCGTTAATAAATCCTGTTGCGTGCTGTTTAAGCATTGCTGACATCCTGAAGGAGAGAAGTTCTCGTTGAAACTAAGCAGCGCCATTTAAAAACCTGCTAAAAGCAATTTAATGTGCGAAGCAATGAGAACCTGTTTACTGCAGATGAAGAGGAGCACTCACGTGCGGTGTTTCTATCTGCTTCCCATCAGAATGGAATGTACACAGGCTTATAAAGTGCGCTGATGGATCAAGCTTGGAAGATTCCGATAAACAGACCGTCAGCAATGAGAGTTACATCCTCAGTGAGACTGCTTTCCAAAAGCTGTGCGCCTGACAAACACAATCCAGTGCACCTTCCGCAACATTCCATCTGAAGGACAGAGGTCATGTACTCCCTCCGGCCAAAATATTAGGAACGCCACTAGCACGTGTAAGGGGCTTTTACTTGCAGCCTAGTCCAATTCAGTTCTTGCCTCCAGTTCATGAGGGATAACACCAGCCAGGTGTCAGGAGCTTAAAGACCGTTTGAGTATTTAGGTAGGATGGCTTTTTTGCTTAACCCTCTTTTTGAAGGAGCGCTGCCCTGAGCTGGGGGTGAGGACATGTGACCCTCAGCCAGAGAGAGGAGATAAGCAAGGTGGAGATGGAGGGGAGGAAGAATGAATGAGGGAAATGTGAAAGGAGGAGTCATTTGGATAGGAACTGTACAGCTCATTGTAGTATTATGATTAGGAGCAGCTGGGTGAGATTGACTTGATGGCCTGACCCTTCCTGAACTAATAAATTCCAGTTCCGGACATTTCTCTGTCGAAAGGCTTGTTCTGTCCAGGGACAGTGGTGAAGACCTGCACATACTCCTCACGTCAATCGGGGATCGTTCACTTCCATACCTGGCCGTCCCCCATCTTCTGGGCACTGCGTGTGGTTGACTGGAGATGCACTGTGGGGACGTCCCGCATTTCAAAGAGAGCTCATTTTGTCAGTGACCTGCTCACCGCCTTTCCAGTGTCATCAGCATTCCAGTGTGTGGAGAGAATTCAGAGTCCTCATTTGATGCAGGCCAACTGCCTCAACCAAGGAAAGGTTTATTTAAACATAAATATACGAGAGCTGTCTCATGCTGTTTATAGAGGCTAATGAGCACTGACATTGTCCACTTGCTGTTGGAATAGCAGCACTAGAGTGCTCTGTAGTATCTAACGGCATGGAAGGCTTTGCATGAATAACTCACCTGTCACACATCAAATACCCCATCAGCCTTGTAGGCATATGCATTGTATAGATGGGGTAGAGCTTGCCTGCATTCTGGAAGGGGTGAAACACTGTTCTGGTTCAGTAATGGTGCATCCAGCAGGGATTCCTGGATCTCGACCTGAACCCTTGCCCACTCCCAGAATGGCTCCCTAGTCCTTTATCATGGGGCCTCCAATAATCAATAATCCCCAGGATGTCTGGAGTCGGGGAGGTTCAGAGGCTTTACTTACTGAAGCGGAATGAGAATGTCACTGGGGCCCGAGCGCGCAGAGCGGGCCTCTGTTCCTGGGAGTGTTTCGTCTCTTGAAACCCGGAGTGAGGTTTCCGAATGTTACAACATTTCAGGACGCAAATGTGATTATTTCAGATGGCTGAATCACAACCACTTCAGGTTCGACTAGTCATGTCTAATGCAGTCTGAAACCAACACAGTAATAAAAAGTAATGCGCTGAATAAAACCGTGAGGGCATAAAATAAGCGGGGCTATCCTCCACGCCACCATGCTTCCCCGAGAATCCTGGAGAGTGATACAAATTAATGGAAGGAGATTTTGCAGGATGAAGCATCCAGCATTTTCCTGACAGTGGCAGAGCCGGGATTCCCAGAATGCACCTGCAGTGCATTTGAATGAAGCCTAAGTGTGAACTGTTAGCACTACACTGCTGTGTTGCTAAATTAATCCACATGTTCAGATGAATTGATACCTGAACTCCAATCCTAACCCTACAAATCAGTGCAATTATTCATAAACGCTCTTGAGCGCATAGTTATGGTCCTTGGGCAACAACAGTAGAGAACCTTAAAAGGAATACTCAGTCATCCAATTTTTATTAGCAAAACAAAAACACCATGCTCATCATTTGAACATAAATTATAAGCCCATTTGTCAGAAACCTTTCAGAATGGAGTCAAACAAAAAAAAAAACAAAAGTGCAAATATATACAAAACAATTCATTGCAGCGAGCGTTTCAAAGGAATCAAGTCTACACCTCCTTTAAAAAAAATAATTTAAAATTAACAATCTTAAACAATAACCATACAAAAAATATAATAATAAGCAATTAGGCAGATTGCAATCACCCAATTCAATCACTCACAATACAACTTCTTCTTCAGACACATTATAAATATATTCCATATTTCTTTCAAAGTGTAAACAAGTCGGTACTGTTAAGACAGGTTTAGACATGGGGAGGACAAAGCAAAACTAAGTCTTGCTTCTGCATGACTTTGGGGAAAAACATTGAACTTGAACACCAGCTGAAATGTTGTTATGGACTCAAAAAATGACAAAAACCACTTATCTACTGAGAAACACCAAACCTCTGCACATACACTGAAGCCTCCCAGCCCCGGGCCTGGAGGAATTCTGCATCTGCTGGGTTTCTAGATCTCTTCAAAAAGCAGGGAGAAGCTGGTACGTGGGTCCAATTAAGCAATTAACGACCTGATGTAGGTCGTTAAGAGTCGAGTTGGAATACCCCTTCCCCCCACAGACACCCCCCCTCCGCAGGACAAAGACTGGTCAGCTCTACCCCGCACCCTCTCCCCCAGAAACAGGCTCTGTACAGTAGTTCAGGCTCGTTCTGCTCCTGCCAGTGCCCGGACTCATCCAGACAGGACTGGCCAGCTCCAGCCTGCCACTGGGCTCTTCACGTCTCCATCAGCTGACAAACTGGGGGAGAGGTGTTGTTAAACATCCAGCCATTATTCCAACTGCTTCATCCAATTCAGCTGGAGCCTGTCCCAGCAAGCAGTGGGTCAAAGGCAGGGTGCAGCCTGGACAGGATGCCAGTCCATCCCAGGGATGTTGAACATATAATTAGTTACTTGGATGGAATGAAATCCTGAGGTCTTGTAGGACTGGAGTTGGACTCTGTTTCAGATGTTGTCTATGAGCTTGGAGACTTAATACATCGTTGCCAATCCCAAAGAGCCTGGTTCTGAGAGATCAAAGATGGGCGTTGACGTTATCATCTGATAAACACCACTTTAGAATAAGAAATCCCAAATGACTGGAGTGGTTCTGAATTCTGTTGCCCAAGCAATTTTTTTTCTTTTGCTCACTTTATTGAATTAACTGCATTCCAAAAAAACATGAGAAAGTAGTTAACCCAACTGATTGTCAGCAGGTCCGCTAACACTGACACTGCAGATGTGATGAGTTTGCAGTGATTATTTTGACTCATCCGGATTTTGTATGTTATTGACTCATAAAAGTCACCATGAATAAAGCCAGTCATAAATAAAATCACTCCCCCCCGCATTAAAGCTGAAAATTTGAAGATTATTCTATTCTAATTATCCCTGCTGGGGGTTTTAAATAATGAGCTCTGCTGGGACACTGCATTCTCTATTTACAAGTATATCATCCCTGCAAGCTGTGTAAAAACTAACGTATGTTTGAAGATTTGTATCTTTTAAACACAGCTCATCCTCATCTCTTGGAGAAATCAGCTGCTCATTTCCTTCCTTAGGCTGCTTTAATGGGATTTTTGGGATCTGAGGGGGAGATCCAGCACATGTGAAATTGTTTGTGCTGAGTGGTTCTGCACAACCCAGATTCTGCACAGTAGCTGGACTGTCCGGGAACAGAACACCAGTTTACTGGGTGACCGTTGTCACCAGGTGCAGTAGCTATTGCCCTCGAAATCCTGTCCCAGAAGCACGTCTCGGTGACCGATCCTCTCGGCCTGGCTGAGACAGACTCACTGCTCCAGGAGTCTAGCTCCCAGTCATGGCAGAATTCAGAGTACAGACGGCGGACTTTGCCACCACGGCCTCTCTGTGCCCAGACACAGCTGGGATTGATTTTATCGGGTGCCTGGATGCGCCGAGTCGCTTGATTTTCAAAAGG